CGGCCTGCGCGCGCCCCCGCGTGGCCGCCGCGAGCACCACACGCCGCCGCCCGCCGGCGTTCTCCGAGCTGGAAGAGGGTTTCGGGGTTCGGGCCGGCGTCACCCGAATCGGAGCCCCGCTCCCGCGATCACTAAAGGTCGCGCGGGCGGAGGACAGGGGAGGGCCTAGGGAGGCCCCAGGCCCGCGCCCTGGCTGCCTTCCCTCCCCAGCGCGGACCGCCGCAGGCCGGGCCGCTACCCCGCCCCGCTTGGGGAGCCCTCCCGAAACCTTGGCCCGCTCAGCTCTTCCGCGGGCCCCGGGCAGTCTGCTGGCCTGACGGCAGCCGCAGGTGACGAGGTCACCGAGCAGCCCTCAGACTCCCCGTCACCCCCAACTTCCTTTGTGGCTTGATGAGAGGCCGAGACGAGCGGGTCGCAGGAGCCCGACCCCGGGGAAGGGGCGGCAGCGCGCCTCGCACCACACACCGGAGCCCTGGAGGCGGGCGGGGCCGGGCTGCGGACGGCCACCCATCGAGCGGCTCAGAGCCGGACCGAAGGCCCAGACCGCGACCCGAGAGCCCTCGTCCTGCTGTGGCTGGCGCTTCAGCCCCGGCGCCCTCATCCCGGCCGAGAGCCGCCGTCCCCTGGCCACTCGGCCCCAGGGCCACGGCCTCTGCGCCGCGTCGTCCCTCGTGCCCAAGGCCCTGCCCGCCCCTGCCCGCTGCCCGGCCCTGGCCGGGCGTCTCCGGTCGCCTGGGCACAGGCCCTGCTGAAGGCCTCACCCGCGCGCTCCCGAAACGGAACCAGACGCAGGCTGCCGTTCCTGTCCTTTCTATTTCCAACGCGGGAACAGCAGGAGGCGGGGGACAGGGAAGGGGAAGGAAAGGACTCGGGAAGGGTGGGGCCCGGGCGAGGGCGGACACAAGAAGGGGCCGCTCACTGCCCCTCGCCGTGTCCCTGTGCGGTCCCCGAGGTGTCCCTCGCGGGGCAGAGGGCCTGCGCGGGCTTGCCGCGGGCGTGCAGCATCTCGCGGGCGCCGGCGTTCCGCTCCTCTCTCCCCGCGCCGGCTGCGGGCGCGGCGTCGGCAGGCCCGGGCAGGGTCCGCTCGGTCCGCCAGGAGGCGCCCGCGGCTTCCGTGTCGCTTCCGTCAGAGGAGCCGCTGTGGACGCTGAGCTCCTCGCCTCCGTCCGAGTCCGAGTCCGGGGCGGTGTGGCGGCGGATGCGGGACACGGCCTCCCGCAGGGCTCCGGCGTAGGGCCCGGGAGCCCGCGCCCAGCCCCCTCCCACGCGCCGCGGCGCCGCCGTCACTGCCGAGCCCCTCGCCACGCCCGCGTCCGCCGGGCCCGAGGCTGCGCGCTCCGGGACACCCGGCTGCGCGGCGGCGCACGGGGGGCTGACTTCGCCGACCGAGAGTCCCGGGACGCGGGACGCGCGCTCCTCCGGCGAGCAGTCCTCCGGCGTGCCGCCCTCCGCTGCGCCCCCGCGCCCCCCGCTGGGCTGGTGCGGAAAGCGGCTGCCTGGCGGCAGCTTCTGGCAAACGGAGGGAAAGATCGGGGCCCTCTCGCCCTCCGGCTCCCTGGGGCCATCGCCCACGACGCGCGGCTCCCCAGAGGGCAGCAGCTGCACCTGCTGGGTTCTCGGAGTCGGAACGTACTGGGACCGAATCACCACGCGCGTGGCGTCAATGACAAAGACGCCTTCTCCGCGCGCGGGACCCCGCGAGCTGCGGGGCAGGGTGTGGGCGCGGCGGGGCGCCGTCCAACTTCCCGGTGCCTCGGGCTCCGCGCCCTCTCTCTGACCCCGCGACTGTCTCCATCCCGTGCCTCCTGGAGCCCAGGGTCTGGGGAGGGTCTGGCTATGGCGTGGCGGCTGCCTTTTAGGGGAAGGAATCCAGCATCTGGGGAGCCAGGCATGTTCCCTCCCTTCTTTCCCTTCCCTCGAGCCCTGGAGTTGGTGCCTGGCCCTGGGGGCGGGACGCGGGGGGCTGGGGGTCGCAGGCGCAGACCCCGCGGGCGCTGTCTCCGTGCCGGGGCTACCAGGAGCGTCGGCTTGGGAATGCCCGTCGCTGCCCCTGTTGGGGCCAGCAGCGGCTAGGCCCGGGCTTTTCTCCGCGGCCCCCTTGCCATGCTCCGGCCGCGGCCTGGCCGCCGCACAGCCTGGTGACCCCCCTAAGAGGCCCCGCCCCTGTCGGAGACCCCAAGCCCCGAGCACGTCCCGGTAGATTCGAGGGTCCAGCCTCTTCTTAGTGCGGCCTCCCTCTGTCCTGGCTGGGGTCGGAGCTGGGGCGGAGGAGGCGGGCGCCGGGGAGAGCTCGGGGGCTCGCCTCGTCCCCAAGGTCCTGTGGGGGCCTTCGTAGGAAGGTGGAGCCACGTAGGGTGGCGGCCGGTCCCAGCGGCGTCGCGGGGCAGTGCCTGCGGCGCCTCTCAGCAGCAGGTGAGCCTCGTAGCTGGGGGGCCCGGGCCGGCGACCTCCCCAGGGCCCCGCCCACACCGCCCCGGGGTCGCTG